CTTGCCACACTTGTTTGCTCTTTCAGAACATTTTTTAAACTCTCATTTCCTTTTTGGGGGAAAAAATGATCATTTTCTTTCAGAAAAAAATAAAGCAGTTCTAGGGTTGGGGATTAACAGACATACATCACTATACATAAAATAGATAAACAACAAGGACCTACCGTATAGCACAGGGAACTATATTCAATTTCTTATAACATAATGGAAAAGAATCTGAAAAGACAAAATATGTATCTATATGTGTGTATAACTGGATCACTTTGCTCTACTCCTGAGACTAACATTGTAAATCAATTACACTTCAATAAAAATTTTTTAAAAGATGAAAATAAATACTGAATGTAAAGTAAAAAATAAAATAAAACAGTTCTGGTCATCTGCATATTTACCCATCTCTGCTTGTCTGCATACCCACAGACACATACATATATGGCACTGTGTCTCATGACTTTCAGACGGTACCAAAAAATCAGAACCACAAGTGCAATTTTCAGTGTTGGTAACAGTATAAAGAACTTGCAGTAAGAAAACCTTGGGTTTGAATCAGCAGTTGTAAAATCATAATCAAAAATCAGCAGTTGTAAAATTTAGGGCGATTTAGCTAACCCCTTTTTGCCTCATTTGCAAAACTGAAAGGTTAATAGCACCCATCTTTAAGGTTGTTGGGAGAATTAAGATAATTTATGTTGGCTACAAGAATAAAATGTAACTGTTACTGAATGCAAGTTCGTGAGCCCACCGCACCATGAGGCCAAAGAAATTGAAACATGGGAGTTTGGAGCAAAGAAAGGTTTATTGCAGGGCCGAGCAAGAAGGACGGAGTGGCTTATGCCCAAGAAAACCCAAACTCCCTAAAGGGTTTCAGCAAAGCACATTTAAGGGTCAGATAAGGGAGGGAGGTTGCAGGATACACAATCAGCTCATGCACAAGTCTCTGGTTGATGCTGAGGTAATGGAGTGGTTAACACTACAAACCCCTAGGTACCAGAAGGCTAAGGGTCTACGTGCTCTCCATCATCAAGTAGTTAATTTTTTCCTTTTGGTGGTGGTTTTTAGCATCAGAAAAACTCAGTAAATACGCATGAGATACCAGATACTTCAGAAAGGAGCTGCAGCAGAGGAAATGGGGAGGGGTCTGAACTGGAAGGCCCCACAGGGTCCTGCTCGGTGACAGAATTTGTTGATTGCTATTATTATCTGCATTTTAGATACACACCTAATACCTAATAGAACCAAGGAGATAACTCCTAAATCCATCATGGAAGAATTCAACAAGGGGCTAAAATCCCAAAAAGTTTCTGCTCTACAGAGGCACAGTGTCTCTTCAGAGCCTGCAACCACTCACAAACCAGGCTGCTTAAAAGTGGTCAAATCCACTTCTGAGACTTGCGCAGACTCAGTTTTCTTTGAGCTTCTGAACACTTCTGACAAAAAGCAAGCAGACCAGAGTATGGTTGTAAGTATGATGGTGGGAGAGATGGAGAAGGAATCTTTCCATGTTTGTGTACTGAGTAAGTTGAACAGTTTAGGATAAACTTGATTATGAGTTGTCTGCTGGAGATCAGGATGCCTGCACCACAGATGAGTTGCCTCTCTCCCATTCAAATCATTTTCCAGCATTTTTTTACTCCTGAGCAAGACCATTTATTTATTAATGTTCATTCATTCATCCACTGTTCATTGAGCACCTATTATGTGCTGGACACTGTACTGACTACTTGTAGATACTGGGGAAACTGGCCATTTTATGGCCTGGTACATGATAAATATTTTTAAATTATTTCATGTGTGTTGGAGAAGTTTATAAATGCTGGACTCACAATCCCTGAAGTCAGATAAAGTTTCTTAAGCTGTTAATTGTGTTGGTCAAATCTTCTAAATCTTAATCATAACTATTATTTTTTTTAACCTTGTTGTTTCAGCAATTTAGAGAGAGATGGTGAAACCTCCGGCGGTAATGGTAGTTTTGTCAGTTTCTTATTCTAGTTCTTTTGCTTTCTTCCATATATTTTTATATACAGTTTACGTACATACAGGTTTCCACCACTATCTGAAAGGAGATTGTTATTCTGAAACCTTTCATGAGCCAAAATGGCATAAAGCGAAGAGGATCCCCTGCTTTCCAAAAGTTCGCCTTATGCCACTTTACTTTTACTAAAGATTTACATTAGTCCTTTTTTTTTTGCTAACTGAAAGAAATCCAAAGAGGATTTTCACTTTTACCAAAAAAAAAAAAAAAAAAAAAGAAAAGCCATAAAGCCATTGCTACACTGATGTGGATCTTTTGTAAAATTGAAGAGACATAAGGCAAAATTTCAGGAAGTAGGGAGTACCTGCATGTATACAAGTATATTTACTATGTGTGTATATTTGTAAATCAAGGGAAGGAAAAAATGGCAATATGTTGCCATATTGAGTAATGTAAAGAAATAACACATTTTATATATATATATATACATACACACACACACACACACATATATACACACACACGGGATATACATATATATACATATACACATATATTATGTAAATATATAATTTCAATTGCATTTTCTTAGGCATTGAATACTTTGTCATTATGCAGTGAAATTCTACCTGTACTGACATTTTTTTCTAAAAGTCTATTTTAAGCTCCACCATTATATCTAAACTGGTTATACAACTTTTAGGTGACTACATACTTTATGTGTATTTTGTCAAAGACATGTACCTGGATTTATTTTTTAATCCAAATTGAAAAAAATGTGTTTCTTGTATATTCATGTACATTTCAGGGTTTTCTATATATAGTATCATGTCATCTGCATAAGTGACAATTTCACCTCTTCTTTTCCAATTTGGATCCCTTTTATTTCTGTTTCTTGCCTGATTGCTGTGTCTAGGACTTCCAAGACTATGCTGAATAGAAGTGGTGAGAGTGGGCATCTTGTCTTGCTCCAGATTTTAGTAGGAAGCCTTTCAATTTTTCACTATTTAGTGCTGTGCTGGCTGAGGTTTGTCATAAATAACTTTTACTATGTTGAAATATGTTTCCTCTATACCCACTTTGGTAAAGACTTTTATCATAAATGGGTGTGAATTTTGTCAAAACCTTTTTCTACACCTATTGAGATGATCATATGATTTTTATTCTTCAATTTGTTAATGGGGTGTATCACATTGATTGACTTGTGCATACTGAAAAATCCTTGCATCTCTGGGATAAATCCCACTTGATCATGATGTGTGATCCTTTTAATGCATTGTTGGAGTCAATTTGGTAGTATTTTGTTGAGGATTTTTGCATTCATATTCATAAGTGATATTGTCCTGTAATTTCCTTTTTTTGTGATATCTGTATCTGGTTTTGGTATCAGGGTGATGGTGGCCTCACGGAACGAGTCGGGAAGTGTTCCTTCCTCTGCAATTTTTTGGAATAGTTTCAGAAGGATAAGTGTTAACGCTTCTCTAGATGTTTGGCAGAATTTGCCTGTGAGGCCGTCTGGTCCTGGACGTTCGTTTGTTGGGAGTTTTTTAATTACTGGTTCAATTTCAATACTGATAATTGGTCTATTCTTATTTTCTATTTCTTCCTGATTCAATCTTGGCAAATTGTACATTTCTAAGAAAATGTCCATTTCCTCTAGGCTGTCCTTTTTGTTAATGTATAGTTGGTCAAAGTAGCTTCTGTGGTATCGGTGGTGACTTCTTTTTCATTTCTGATTCCATTCATTTGCGCCCTCTCCCTTTTTTTCTTGATGAGTTTGACTAAAGGTTAATCAATTTTGTTTATCTTTTCAAAGAACCAGCTTTTAGTTTCATTGATCTTGTTTTTGTTGGGTTTTTTTTTAAGTCTCTATTTCATTTACTTCTGCTCTGATCATTGTGATTTCCTTTCTTCTACTAACTCTGGGTTTTGTTTGTTTTTCTTTCTCAAGCTGCTTTAGGTGTAACGTTAGGTTACTTGAGACTTTTCTTGTTTGCTGAGGCAGGCTTGTGTCATTATAAACTTCCCTCTGACAGCCGTTCTTGCACGTCCCAGAGGTTTTCGATCATTATGCTTTCATTTTCATCTGTCTCAGGGTACTTCTTGGCTTTCTCTTTGATTTCTTCAGTGATCCACTGGTCCTTTAGTCGCATATTGTTTAGCCTCCATATGTTTTCAGCTTTTGCAGTTTTTCTCTTGTAGTTGATTTCTAACCTCTTAAAAATGTGATCAGAAAAGATGCTTGGTAAGGTTTCCATTTTCTTAAATTTACTAAGACTTACATTGTGGGCCAGCATGTGATTGATTCTGGAGAATATGCTGTGTGCATTGAGAAGAATGTGTATTCTGCTTTCAGATGGAATGCGCTATAGGTGTCAATTAGCTCCATCTGGTCTAATGTGTCATTTAGGGCCTGTGTTTCCTTATCGATTTTCTGTCTGCATGATCTGTCTATGGATGCAAGTGGGTTGTAAGGTCCCCAATTATTGCTGTGTTATTGTTATTCTTCATTTCATGGCCTTACCTTTCCTGCAGGTCAGTGGGCTACCCTCATACTATCTGCTAATTGGTTTCATTTATTTGACATCTCAGGATTATTTTCCAAATTGTTTCCATTGTACTCTATGGAAAAAAAGTGTAGAAAATAAATTTATTAGGTCCTCAACCCTTCTAGAAACTCATTGCTCTTCCAGAACTGGAAAGAGTCATTGCAGTGATAGTATCGGGCCATTACTCACTTGTGTTTCTGTAGAAAATTCTGAAAGGCAAGGGTAATCATGAAATTGAATCATGGAAGTAATGGATCTGAGTCATGGGCGGGAGGATAACTGGGGCAAAATTTATTTCCAGACACTCCAGGAAAAGATTACGTGTAAGTAATGATGGTATGTTAACTGTTACTCACTATCTAGATATATCACATACTTCTGAAACCAAAGGTAACTTTACAGACAATTTTTCTCTATCGAAGAAGCGTGGTCAAGTACTGGTAGTCACAGACCTCTACCAAGATCTCTTGCCACTGCCACTGTGTGAACAGGAAAGGAGGAAGCAGTGGCTGGGTGACTTTCCTTTCCCCTTTGAGAAAAAAGCTGCGATTCAGGGATTTTGGTACCTACCAACCCACCTTCAAATCAGCCGGATGAGAAAGTTCTAACGTAGTAAGTCTTTTCAGACATTTGCTAAATAAATAAATAAATAAATAAATAAATAGTATGTCTAATGTTTCACTGTGACTAAGACGTTTACAGCAAGAAAAACCATTTGGTTTCTCTGGCTAAGGAAAGACAGAGCTAAGGACATCGATGGGAGGAGTCTCAACAGTGTTTCATAACCTCTTTGTCTCTGGGTGTTTCCCACAGTGTGAGGTAGCCAGCACCAGCCAAGTTACCACAGGACTCTAACCAGTGTCATTTTTGGAAACAACTTCATTTCCTTAGCATTTTGGGATATTACAACATCCTGTAGTTCAGTTTCTGGGAGTTTTACTGATTTATCTTCCT